AATTATCATAATAAAATAAATTATATTATAATACTCTAAAACGCGTGTTATCATATCTCCCTATTGGAGTTTAACTATTAGTAGATAGATCTACCTTTCTCTATTTCTTTCTCTTTGTTATAACATGAGGAAGCTATATGATTTAGGTATCCAAAAGGTTGGTCAACCGAATTGAATGAAAACAAGGGAGAGCCGATGGACGTATTGTATATAGTCGAAAGATGATGCTCGATGGTGTGATAAGGTAGCCGCATTGCGGCATACAACCACCATGTTTCGGGCAACGTACGTAACGAACACGAACGGCGTCGGCAGTGGCGGCTGTAGAAACTTCCTCGACCTCTACGACTCCTACTCTCCCTTTTTCATACCCTTCCAGTTCATTCGGAAGGGGATTGGCTCATTCCACTTTCCTTCGACCTACCTGAAAATGCCTAAATCGAGTAACCATACCACCATATACACGCGATCTATCACGCATCAACTAATCGATCATTATTTCAAATAATAATAATAATAATAATTAAGACAATATATCAACGTATCTTCAAATGAATTCTAATAGATCGAGTACTATTTATTTAAAGAAAAACCAATCAAATTAGAAATGCAATTAATACGATAAAGCTTCATCTCCTTCTGTAGAATCGAGTACGCTCGTTAAATGAGCAGATGAGCAGATGAAGAACATGAACATTACGACGTAAACCACTTAATGAACTATTAACTACAACTTATAAGGTGTTAACACATCTTTAAATAAGAGATAAATTTTAATTATAATAACGCGCGATGAATCTTTATTAAATAATAATAAATAAATAACAACGATTATAAATATTCTCAATGTTTCGAACAAACTTCATTATTAGATCCAATTTATAAGTTTATTTCCTTTTCGATGATCTTTCTCCAAACTTTGATACTTTAGACATCGAACGATTAATAAACGCAGTGAGCACGTAACTCCTATAATTGGATACAGGTGTAGTAATTCAATCACGTTGATTCATGATGGATCGATTCTTAGAGCGAATCTTACTTCCAAGAAGAGATGGAGGAGTAGGTTGATAATATTGAGTTCAACTAGATGGTGACAAGTCTCCAAACGAAGTGAAAGATAGAGAGAGATAGAGATATGGGAAGATAGATAGGTAGATGATAATGATGAGATGAAGATGAGAGAGAGAGAGAGAGAGAGAGAGAGAGAGAGATTGTTATCTCTCGTAATTAAACGGATTCGAGCTTTTCCTATCGATCGTGGCACAACGAATTACGTGCGCAAGAGTATATAGTATATACATACATACACATATACATTATAATAGCATATAAGCATTTGGACTATTAACAAATGTGATAATAAATGGACAATTTATTTAAATGGTAGCAATTAATTCTTTTTACAGAGTCAATATTTTAGCTAATTTATTAGCAGCTGCTTCAAATTTTTTGCCAAAAGATAGCTCAATGAACTTCGATGGGATCCAAGAATAATTAATCTTTGCAGACGATATCGCATATATATATATGACACATATGCATTCTATGCATGACAGTCCACGTGTGCTATAGTCATTTCTATTACTCTTTCTCTCTCTCTCTTGTTCTCTATTTTATCGATCGTATATTTATACGAATCCAAATATTTGGGCCTGACAATGACGTCAAGAAAGAAGAAAAAGGATCTTTTTGGAATGAGAATGAAAGATTCATGCGAAAAAGTTATCTACTCTACTCCTATCTAGAAACCAACCGAGAAATAGAACTTCTTATATATATATATATATATATATATACATACATATATGCATCGTACGTGGTACATAGAACAGGTGAATTCTGTTAGTATCCTTTAACACTGAAGTTGTTTACATACTCGCAATACAATTGCTAAAGCGGCATACATATATACATATATATGCACGAGCGCGCACACACACACAAACACTATGTATACTACAGATTGTTCTTTACACAATTACTTGATTTCTTTCTTCTAGTTACATCATAATATTCGTTTAACTAACTAAAACACATATAATAGAAAATAATAATTGTCACTATATAAAAAAGTCATCTCACAAATAATTCAAACTTGATACCCTATTTATATAATATATGTAACCAATGAAACATAATGAAAATAACTTTCCCTTAAAAACTTGAATACATACATCTATGTATACATCTCATTGAAAAATCCGAAGGAAAAATAAAGCTATATAATACATAAATGTATAAATAACATGTATCTCGAAAGATTCGAGTCAGGGGCAAATGTGTACAGTGCTTAAGGACGCTGAATGGGGACTGTATTTTCGCGTAAGAGCAGAGAGAGAGAGAGAGAGAAAGAGAGAAAGAGAGAAAGAGAGAGAGAGAGAGAGAGAGACGCATTGGAAGGAGGGTGGGAGAAGCTGGCCTGGTTTCATTGAACCTGCAGCCACCCCTGTTATCGCGTAGCACCCCTCTATGTGTGTGCTGGCTGCGTTCGTAGCAGCAGTGTGGTGCAACGCTGCTGCTGCTGGCTGCTGCTACTGCTAGTAGTCAATCTCCCCTTCTCGTTCCCTCTTCATTCCCTCCTAACTCTCCTCCACTCCTCTACACCCACCTACACAAGGAACTTGTGAGCTGGCTCGAGCTCACAGTGGCGTTTCCGACGGTACGAGGGGGTGTATAATCTCTTCCCCGGTTGGCGGCCGGGGGCAAGCTATGCATAGCCCGCGACGTCTATATATAGGTCGTCGTTTCTATAAATAGAACCACCGCCGGTACCCTTCACCTTCCACCCTTAGCCGCGGCCAACTTGAGAGAGTTTTACAACACCGGTCACGACAGTTTCAACGTGTCAAACTTTGCAAATGCAATTCTTTTAAATAAATCTTTATCTATAAGTGTACAACATTCATTGCGTGTTTGTTATTCATTTTGATAAGCATCATATGTCGTATATAGTTTTATTCTATTTATTTATCTTTAATTAAGATTCAATTAATTTTAGAATAATCACAACTGTCTATGTTAATATCATCAAATATTGATTTTATTTATATTATAATAAAAAGTAAGTTTGAAATTTAAAAAAAATATATATATATAATGAAAAAGATACAAAAGAAATCTTTTAAATGATTCTCGAAACGAGAATAATATTCGATGTAGAACGCAAGATAGTTCGTGAAAGCAATTGTGTTGCTTACTTGTTATCACTAACTTGTACAATGCTTTGTCATTTCAAAACGAGTTTGACGCGCCCCTATTGTGCGTATATAATACAATACGCATTTTGAAAGTTTTCTATTTTACTTGGATACGATAAATTTGGCCTAATTAACGTTTACCCCGATCATGCGTTCCAACTTTTAGCAGCGGCAATTTGCCGTTAAATGTTTGTCGATCAAACGTGGCTCGATGAAACTAGAATTGTTTGTTTAAGTGTCGCTAGCTACGACAATGACGTTCAACATTTCTGCTTTTTTTTTTTGTTATTTATTTTTTTTCCCCCCCCCCCCCCCCCAACTTTCAAACTCGTTTCGATTTGACGCGATCGAATAGAAATTTGATGAGAATTTAACAAAATAGAAATTAAACAACAATAAAAAAACATATAAAATCAGTTTTTAAATATATCGAAGATATTCTTATGAATATTCTTATCTATATTTATTGTAGGTAAGTATATACATACATATATACTTATTTACTTATGTAACACGTATTCTTCATCATTTTAAGTACTTTCCGAACCAAAAAACTATCTTACAATAGTGGCAACGTTTGAACGTATCGATCAGAGGTAGTAAGCGATAAATAGAGTCGAGCTGAGAGTCTGACGCCCGTGAGCCTGATTAAACTTCACTCTTCGCTAATGGTTTATAAATAGCTACCTATTTTTTTTCTTCTTCTTCTTTTTCTTTTTCCTTTAAACACGATAACGAAGAAGGGAGTGCACCAAGCACACGTCCTTCTTGCTCTACTTTTGCTGCACCCACGTTTCTTCTCTCTTACTCACTCACTTATTCTCTCTTTCTCTCTCTCACTTTCTCTTTTTTCCTTTCTCTTTCTTTATTTCGTTTTATCCATTTTTTCTTTCACGTTTCCATCAACTTTTATTCCTTCGTCCTTTTCGATAGAGTTCTTCCTATACTAGCAAATTTACTTCTTTCAAAATCTAACGCGCACCAGAAGAGCCTTTGTTCGATCGTCTTCTTCATTTTCTTCCTTATCCATGCAATTTCCATATTACCTTCTTACGTAACTTACCCTCAAGTTCGAATAAACTTTCAACAAAATTTTCAGATTTTTTAATACGTATCAAAAGTAGGTATATCTATATTTCAATTTGTTTTTATCTAAAGTATATATGAGTATTAACCGATCACGTATTGGCCTCTTTTCTATAGTGTTACAATAAAACATTTATTAAACTTATTTCAAGTATTTTTAGTCTCTCAGTAATATATGATTTATAGTAATCCATCCGAATTCGAAATTCATTATTCTATTCTGAATTGTTCTCGAATTTCAGGATTGATTAAAATGAAATGTTACAAGCTTACTTTCTCTTTTCTAAATGATTAGATCGACTTTATCGATCGATCAATCTTCTATTAGTCACGTACAAGATTTATAAATAGCTTTTAAAAGGCAGTGCATTTTTAAGAATAAGGATTCAGGCTACGTTTATGACAGCAACTTCTTATAAAAGGAAACAGGTGGCCTGATTTACGCGTACTAAAGCCGATGTTCTACGTTTTATATGTAGGTGCGCAAGATAAAAACATACACACATAAGCACACATATACACATACACATATACGCATACATACTTACATACACGCAGAGAAAATTAATGCATTGTCTCGTTTAATTCATATTTGCTTTCAACCAATTATTACTTCGTACGCTATTGTATTCACTCTCTTGATGTATGTATTTTATTGAATTGTTAATATAAACCGATTACTTTATCTTTCATATGAAAAACTTAACAACTTACTTTCCAGTGAAAAGGATTTCTTCTTCTTCTTTCACGTGCCATGTCAGGCCCTCCTGACGCAGTTTTGTCTTCTATTATCCTGAAGAAATGCTCGACCTTTCGAATTTCGATTCAATCGTGGATGTTTCTGATCCAGAATATTTGATACCTGAAATAAATAAATTTATTATTTTCCGATAACATATTGAATCAATCAAAATAAAAAGAATAATCGTTATTATTTAATAAATTTGTCCTTAAATAAGGAAAACGAATTAAATGAATTATATTAATTAATTACATTTAGTTTGGATTGTGTTTGACGAATCAAAAATGTTGAGAAATGTTAACGAAGAATATTATTAAAATGATTTAATGAATTTGTTTTTAAATGAAACAAAAAATCAAAAAAGAAAATGATTTAAAATTTACATATCACAAAATATTATTGCTCGTATATGTACATTAAAATATATAATTTTATCCGTGCTTCTATGTCTCTAGTTGTTCACGGATCGTGTCTCACGAACCACAGATTTTCCGGCTCGACGTGCTCACTGTCGCTAGTAATTTTCACTATCGATCGATCCCATCCACTTCCGACCACATCACGAGTACCAAAATATATTTGGATTAACGGGAAGCCAAATCCCAGTGTGACTCGTAACCGATCTCACGATCGTTTCGAATGCAAATTGAATCGAGAATGGCCGATTTCTAACAATAAGTTTAGAGCGAAAATTAATCGATTAGAGTATTATTTATTCTCTCTCTTTTTTTTTTTCCATTTTACTTTTTCAATTAAGAAAAATATGTCGCGTTTAAACCGAAATGAATTATTATTTATCTATTATAGAAATTTAATTAATTTTCAATTATATATATTTATACAGGTAACTCTCCTACAACACGGTTTTGCTTTAACACGAAAAGAAAAATGCGAAAATCTTTGTATACAGCACTGGATAACATGATTTTGGCTTAACATATTTAGAAACTAAATTACATGAAAATAATGATGCTAAGAAATAATGAACTTTGGATCTCATATGACACAGTTTTATACACACGGCATTTTCTAGAAACCTATCTATCGAGTTTTAGAAAGATTACTTGTATATATAATATAATTTTTTTTCTTTTTACTAGCATTAAGAAAAATATTCAATTTCAAGATCATCATTCTTTTCCTTAACGTTTTTAATTCTACTCATTATCAATTATTTTTCAAATATTCAAAAATTGTCCTATACATTTTGAGATATAAAAAACAAAAAAAAAAGAAATAATATTTCAAATCTAATCGAATGATTTATACTATATTTTTATTCACGTTATAAAGCAACATATAAAAATTACTTCTTCTTCTTTTTTTTCAACGTTTACAATCACAGATATTTTCTTTTTTCCTTTACAAATATAAGTAAATAATAAAAATATATTTAATCTGGACGATTAATATTTCGAATATCTTTTTATTCCCGTTAAAAAAGAAAAATGATTAATTTCAAGATCATCACCCTGTTTTCTTAACATTTTTAATCCGTTAGCAGCCATTTTCATTTTCATCTAATACTCGAGAGCTGCAAATAGGCTGAATATATAGGGGCGTAGGTCGAACGATCGCGAGATAAAAGTAAAATCAAAAGGGTGATCGATAACGGTCGTTAGATAGCACAACGAATAAGTCGTTCGATAAAAGATTAGGATAGGGGTAGGAGAGATAGGAAAGAAAAAAACAAGAAAAAGGTTGACTGATAGTTGAACGGATGGAAAGAACGAAAACGTTGAATTGTCTTTTGTGAACAATTTTTCAAACACTCATGTTTAATTTTTTCTTTCTAAAGAATACACTTTCAGACATATAATATCAATTTCAAGATCATATATTATTCAACATGGAATTCAGAATAATTTAAAAATAACTAAAAACCAAAATAGGAAAAAATAAAATACTTGGTTATTTGATTTAAAATTCTTTTCGAATAATAATAAGATTCAAGACGCGAAGTATTAAAAAATTGACAGAATTTTCTATTTAATTGATAGTCGAATGCGTCGAAGTGTATAAACTGGACTAATGAAAGCACGCTAAGTGCTTTAACGGATAATTTGATTGTCTTCTAACTGCCGTTGAAGAGGTTGTTAAGATTTTAATTACAATATAAAACTCATCGAAAGTACATCATTTATTACATATATCTATATATATCTCATACTTTCTTTCTCTTTTCTCTTTCGTTTTTTGTCTACATTAATTTCTGTAACAAGAAAACGTATAGAAAATTCGTTGATGGAAATATAAAAGAGGTAAAAAAACACAACAAAATAAAATAAATAAATAGATATAATAAAAATGTAATTTAAAAAGAAAAAAAGATTAGTCGTCCTTGTATATACATTGAACGTACTTGATAAGTCGCAATTATCTTTCGTCGAGGCTTGGCTGTTTGTTCGTTTGACCGTGCAAATATGACTTCCAACGAACTGGAGAAGAATAAGAAACATAATAATAATAATAATATTAATAATAATAATTAAAGATAGAATAATTAAAAAAAATTAACTTTTAATAAACATCGACCTTCGACCCTCTTGTTAATTATTATGATTATTATATTAGGTTATATTCGTAAAGTTTTATTATAAGATTCATATTTAAGGATGCATTAGATATTTCTTTTTTAT